GATTGGCTTAGGGCAGACGGTGTACAGGTAGAAATGGTTGTATATGTCGCAGTATGTCGCCGTCCGAACGGTGACATTAAGAACTACTATAACAGGGCAACTAGTTGAAGAATCTAACGACAAACAAATTATTACAAAGGTCATTGAACCAAAGATTTCAATACAACATAGTAACACCTTGATAACATCCTGCCTGAAGTGTATCTATAAAAATTTGGTTTCAAACAAAATAACTCTGATACCACCATTTGTAGACTAAAATAGGTAAATTTTGCTGTTGTACATTAATAGATATTTTATTATTCTTGCATATCGAAGTTCTATGACTAAACAAGCAATCACTCAATGATCTCGATATACAAGTACAATCAACTTCACAATAAAAGAAATAAAAGTCAGCGGATATAACAAGAACAGAACTTTGATGTTGTAAGATTGATAGTTTTATTACAGCCTGCATCTCGTGTCATTTTAAACCTGTATAATAAAGTCATTGAATAACGGAAACTGAATTATATAATAAATTAGTTCAATATAGGTCAATACATTTTCTCCATCGTCACGATGCTTCATCGCTAAACATAGCATGTAACATCTGGGACATACGTATATCCCAGGTAACATATAGATGTAAGAGTTTTTATGTAAAGCTTAATAATAAAAAAATAAGATAAAGATGTAGATACCGTAAATCATGATAATATATTTATGTGTCTGACTTTATCAAAAAGCGGAAGTTAAATATTGTCCCGAAAACGTTTCATTCCGTTTATATTCTCCCGTAGATCTCGTCAGCAACCTATATAACGTATATACTTCACTTTAAAATGTTTTAGAGCTTTCAATTTCATTGTCTCCTGTTAAACTAAATTTAAGTTTAGAATTAGAGCAAGGCGTCGGGAAACATGAACGACAAGTAGTGTATGACACCTGTATAGACTAGACTTTAATTGCATGCATTAATTTGTCTATGTGACATAATGATGACATGATCAAGTTGAATATGTCTCCCATTAAATGACTTGTAGTTCGTTTAAAACCACATCATTACAATTTTATGTTTTAGGACGTGGACAGAGAATAAAAATGGGAAATGTTCCTGTTCAGGCACCATATGTACTATGGAAGCGTCCTGGTGCCAATTTACAATATTCTATTAAAAAAGGATAACTCCTACGTAGGAGTCGTAAAAAACCTAATAAGGAGTTTATAACTCCTACGCAATAGCTTATTTCTCCAACGTAAGACTTTATAACTCCTACGTGGGACCTTTTTTCTCCAATGTAGGACACTATAACTCTATATATTTTAAGTCCTACGTAGGATTAGGCTTTTTTAATATCTCTACGTAGGAGTTATAAACACCTAATTAGGTTTTTTTTTTTAATATCTCTACGTAGGAGTTATCCCTTTTAATAGAAAATTATAAAATGGCACCAAGACGATTCCTTACCATACAAATGGAAATAATAATAATTACTATGTTAGTTTTAACTTATTGATAGTCTGTTCCTTGTCAAGCTATCTATAAGAAGTATTGCTATGGGGGAACAGTGATGATGCGCATGCTCAACTAGCTTATGGCAAAATGACCACTGCCCTACATATAATTCCGTAACAGTTTTAAATATGTGTTGAATTATAAAGAATGAAAGCCAAAGATGTTTATGTAGTGTTAAAAACACGTAGAAAAGATCGGGAATATTTTAAGAAACCCACAACCCCCGCCCACAACCCCCGCACACATCAACTTAGCGATCAATTCACACTTAAAAAATTTAATATTACATTAATCGTTGTAAAATTATTGAAGTAAATTTGTTAACAACAAATAATTTCAATTACATACTTAATTCAATCTTATTGATAGATATAAAAAAGTAACAGCAACAAAAACATGAGAAAATGACTTCAAATGCAATTATAAATACTTTAATTATTTATCAAATTCACAAGCATGTTTTGCCTGTACATGCACATGTATTTAGTGATGCGGTTTACCTGATTTTATCTTTATTATGTCTGATCTGAATTTGATGTATTACTGTCGAGAATTAATTACCCCTTTTGCATAAATTTCAGTAATTTTACAAATCTTAAACGTAATGACATATTTTCATGTGGCTTATTTTAACTTTTTTAATCTATATAAAAATATACCAATCATCTTATGTTTACTTCACGTACATGTTTGTATAAATTACTGAATTAATATCAACATATAAAGGTTTTCTTTCCTATTACCATATGAGCCGCGTCACGACAAAACCAACATAATGGGTTTGCGACCAGCATGGATCCAGACCAGTCTGCGCATCCGCGCAGTCTGATCAGGATCCATGCTGTTCGCTATATCAGTTTCTCTACTTGTTATAGGGTCTGTAAGCGAACAGCATGGATCCTGATCAGACTGCGAGGATGCGCAGGCTGGTCTGGATCCATGCTGGTCGCAAACACATTATGTTGGTTTTGTCGTGACGCGGCTCAAATGTATTACGTTGTTTACGTCATTATATTCATTTTAATACTATTTTGGACAAGTTGTAAAAACAAAGGCACCTATAGGCTTGACAATCCATTTAGTTAAAGGAAGCGTACGTACAGTACAAATTACGTAGGAATATGTAATTTATGAAAAATAATGGTTTAGCATGCCAATTTCAGCTGCTCTATCTAAAACTAGTAAATCAATTATTATAAGTCTGACACTTTAAACGCTCAAATAGTTCCTTCGTTCATGTGTGTCGTAATTTAAGCCACATATATCAGTTACGTTTAGATGATCACTTCTTTAACCATTGTGAATAATATATGCATTACCACTTCTCTCAGTAATATCAAGATAATCACTTCTGCACCAATTACCACTTCTGTTCTGCAGCAATTATCGGTAATACTGCAATTACCACTTCTGTTCTGCAGCAATTATCGGTAATACTGCAATTACCACTTCTGTTCTGCAGCAATTATCGGTAATACTGCGAAATTCACCTATTCTACCCAACACAGAAATTTGCTACCATTATAAGAAATACTTAAACACTTCTACAACCATTATCAGTAATATTTGCATTACCGCTTCTGCAACCATTATCAGCAATACTTAAATTACCACTTCTGCAACAATTATCAGTAACATTTGCATTACCACTCCTTATTATCAGTATGCATTATCAGTAATATTAAGATTGCCACCTCTGCTCCATTAATCACTAATACTTTAATTACTACTTCTACAATCATTTTCACTTATATTTGCATTACCACTTCTAACCATTATCAATAAAATAAGATGGCCATCTCTGCAACCATTATCAGTAATATTAAGATATCATGTTAACGTTTACCGCTACCAATACTGTTACCACATTACCACTGGGTGTAATGATACTAAATAGCTTGGAGCAATCATCAAATTGCTTTATACCTGTAATCATTTCCAAATTCGGGACAATTTATATATATCTACATTATATAGGAATATCAATTATATTCGTTACAGTTATAATCATAAATATAGGAGTTAATTAATTTAATTTGTCATCAAAACATCCAGGTGTTATTACTTTTAAAAAGAATTACAATTTATCGTGTAGGTTCTAAAATTGTTCATTAGGACTTTTTGGTATAATCTCACTCAGATTTAACAGGAAGGAGGAATGGTGTGGTTTATGTGTAATTTATAAGATAAGATGTCATGTTGTAACCAGATAAAGCCTGGTTTATCACTAGACTAGCGATCATCACGCACCTCTGACCTGGTAACTTCACTCAGCTAAACTTGTCGTTTAAATTAATCACCATTTTATGACTTTAAAATGACAGAATCCCTTCCCTGTATGCTGAAATATCTTAAAGTCAAATATTAAGAACATGTGTGAAAAATGCATCGGGTTTTATTTCGTTTGAAGTCGGATTTACATCAGCTTCTTTAGATATATCAGGAATAATAATTGGTATAACAGGTGATCATGTACTAGTAAATATATATAAGATACCACACAAAATCACTACAATTTTGATATTTTTATTTCACACAAATAAACTATTAAACATTAATACCGTTAGATAAATCTAGATATTTTTTTATTAATGAGGACATATTATTTAAGTTTATGTTTTTTAGTTAAACGAGAATTATATCATTTGCATTGGACAAAGTCCAATTTTCAAAGCCATTTAATTTTCAACAAGTCCGTACATTAGCTGTAGGGACCACATATTGATATTGTTTAATAGCATATTTTCTGGTGAAAAACACGATGGTACGATGATGAAATCGCTATGGTAAGATGGCGAAACGCGATGGTACGATGGCGAAACGCGATGGTACGATGGTGAATTCGCGATGGTACGATGACACGCTCGAAAAAGCGCAATGGTAGAATGGCGAAAAAAGCGATATTACATGGCGTTTTTTCACCATCGTGATATCGAATTTTATTATTTTCAATAAGCACATTATAATTTCAAATGATGAAATATTTACATGATTATTTGATTATGCTCTTTTGTAAACGTGTGAAATATTGATTGTAGTAAATTTGCACATCCATTATGGTAAAATCCCATTTAACAAAATGTAGCTTAGATTTAAATATGTGTATTAACAGCGCTAGAAACGTATTCTTTGTAAATATTTTAAATAATAATTGTGTCTGCAACAGATTAGTTGTACGTTGACATTGATGGCACATCAAAACCAGATTGTCCTGTACATCCGACACTTAACGTTCACTTTTAACATTACAATGACATTTGAAATACTAAAAAAACGTTTGATAAAACATTTTTATAACGTCTGCTTACATGCACACAGTGTTTCATTTGAAATGCCCGCATGTTTAATTGTGAATGAGGTGGCAGACAATATCTAGCGGCAAGTTTAATAGAGGATGATCTTGTAGTGAGATGAACAAGATTGATATAGATGCTATGTGTAGTACAAGATGATATGATAAATCGTTTAAAATCCTCTTTATTAACTTCTTCTTCTTCAGAGCAAGCTGTGTCTGTAAGTGCCACTGCAGACGAAATTATCAAAGAAATGGACTTACTAGGAAATCTAAATTGAAATCCGCAAAGCTCACCAGACATTTCAGTAAGGATAAATTAAGTAACATTACGCAACGGCAGAAAAATACAATTGGATTAATTAAAGTAAACAATACATCAAAGGAGTTTAGAACTCGCTTAAAAAGTGAACATTATTCGGATAGGGAAGATAAAGGGTTAGGTGACGGTCACAAGGGATATATAAACTTGCTGTGTCTACACGTAAAGAAAAATATGGCAAAATTATTGTGTCACTGTGTAATATTGTTATTATTGTGCCTATGTGGAGTCGTTATGGTGCATCATAATATTGGCGAGACAAAAAACACATTAATACACAATGTTGGAGGATATAAACACAAACAAAACAGTTATATTACAACACCTGAATCTTCAATTCTATTGGTCAGTATAGTTTACTTTATATCAAATAAATGTTAGTGTTTTTGTCTGTCTGCCTAAATGGGTTGTAAATGCACGGGAATGCACGTGCATATGTGCGCTTGTTAGTGTCAGTTTTTTATCTGGACTTTTTTAGGATTAAATATTTAATTATTTGGTCTATTTTATAGCGGATTTTCCTTGCGTTCGTTGTCTTTTTTCAGCGTATTATACCTAGTTTATATACATATATATTGAGACTAATCGGTTAGTTAGATAAAAAAAAAGTGGAATGAAAGGTTTTATTGTGAATTTACATAAGCATTTTATTTTATCTGATTAGCTTGTTTGTCGGCAAAAACTCTTGAATGATGGTTGTCAGCCAAATGTTTACCTTATGTTTTAAAACTCAATGTAGTATTAAGCCAATTCATGGAACGTAAAATGATATTATATAATTATGTAACATTAGTATATTCATATTGGTACATCTATTCATTTAATCAAATCAAAACAAACAGTTCAGCCCTTATTTTTCTTTATTTTAGTTATATTAACTGGGATGAACAATAATCAATGTTCTTCAAATATATTGCATTTAAATAATATATAAGTGATTTACTTAAGAGGCGTTATGAATAACATTATCAACAAATTGTCTAACTTTAAATTTACACTAATGATAAGTTATCGAATGTGCCAAATTGTGGATTTTAGAATTTATTTAATACTCGTTTTTTAAACAATTTAGCGTAAGACACATTCAGAATTTACATCAAACAATCTAAGGACTTAAATACATTATGAATCGAATCAGATTGTCAATTTGGATATCTTCAGCTACAGCTATTTAATTAAATGTGACTTTTTTAGACTTTGAATTTTGTATAAAATGAGTGCCAGATTATTAAACTCCTTAAGATACTTTTTTTACATTTGTATAAAGAATTCACACAAGTCATGAAAAACAGTGTGATTTCTGCAGAATTGTATGAAAACGGTTTTCAACAAAACATGTTTCCAAATTTAACGAACAACTAACTTTTTAAATGAAATAAAGTAACATATCATATAAAATCTAAGTAGATATTTTAATAAAATGTAAATAAAGATTACAGTGCTTATTCGGAATGTGTTCATTTCTACAAAGAATATTGTTTAGTTGTTGATAAACGAAATATTTCTTCAACGTTTTAAGTTAACGCAGCTTGATACAACTTGACATTTGATATACACAAAACAATAAATATCACACATAATTCTTGTATGTTTTTGCAGATTCTGCAACTGTTTGTAGCTTCTGCAAAATATCTGTCATTGTGAGATGTTCGCCTCCGAAAGTTTTGCACATGAATATAGTAAAACCTGTATTTACCTGCCGATATAGGAAGGGTGAATTATTAAATAAAGAAGGTCAATTTAACACTTGAAAATATGGAACAGATGTCTAGCATAATAAAGAGTTAATAACTCATACATATAACGCCTGGAAATGCAAAACAAGACTTTTTGTCACACATTGGTAGCTTTTGAGACATTCAATTGTTTAAAGGTTCGACTTCCCACATAAACATTGTCTCTAAAAGTAATTGAGGTTACCACTTCTAGGCTATATATCAAACTTAATCAACTCACTAAGAACAATTTTTACAAATCTACACACTAGTGTTATAATCCTTCATTACATTAATCAAGTTATATACCACTTATATTATCAATCGGGTAGGTATCTTTTATTGTATCATTCAGGTTATATACCACTTATTGTATCAATCAGGTTATATGCCATTTATTGTGTCAATCAGGACTGTACCAATCGATTATATATACCTCTTATTGTATCAATCAGGTTATGTTCCACTCATTGTATCAATCAGGTTATATACCTCTTATTGTATCAATCAGGTAATATACCTTTTATTCTATCAATCAGGTTATATACCACTTATTGTATCAATCAGGTTATATACCACTTATTGTATCAATCAGGTCATATACCTTTTATTCTATCAATCAGGTTATATACCACTCATTGTATCAATATGGTTATATACCACTTATTGTATCAATCAGGTCATATACCTTTTATTCTATCAATCAGGTTATATACCACTTATTGTATCAATCAGGTCATATACCTTTTATTCTATCAATCAGGTTATATACCTTTTATTCTATCAATCAGGTTATATACCACTTATTGTATCAATCAGGTTATATACCTTTTATTCTATCAATCAGGTTATATACCACTAATTGTATCAGTCAGGTTATATACCACTTACTGTATCAATCAGGTTATATACCACTAATTGTATCAATCATATTATATACCACTTATTGTATCAATCATATTATATACCACTTATTGTATCAATCATATTATATACCACTTATTGTATCAATCAGGTCATATTTAATTTTTATTCTATCAATCAGGTTATATACCACTAATTGTATCAGTCAGGTTATATACCACTTATTGTATCAATCAGGTTATATACCACTTATTGTATCAATATTATTATATACCACTTATTGTATCAATCATATTATATTCCACTTATTGTATCAATCAGGTCATATACCTTTTATTCTATCAATCAGGTTATATACCACTTATTGTATCAATCAGGTTATATACCTTTTATTCTATCAATCAGGTTATATACCACTAATTGTATCAGTCAGGTTATATACCACTTATTGTATCAATCAGGTTATATACCACTAATTGTATCAATCATATTATATACCACTTATTGTATCAATCATATTATATACCACTTATTGTATCAATCATATTATATACCACTTATTGTATCAATCAGGTCATATACCTTTTATTCTATCAATCAGGTTATATACCACTAATTGTATCAGTCAGGTTATATACCACTTATTGTATCAATCAGGTTATATACCACTAATTGTATCAATCATATTATATACCACTTATTGTATCAATCAGGTTATATACCACTTATTGTATCAATCAGGTCATTATTGTTATTCTATCACTTATATTAATTGTATCAGTCAGGTTATTACCACTTATTGTATCAATCAGGTTATATACCACTTTTAATTGTATCAATCAGGTTATATACCACTTATTGTATCAATCAGGTTATATACACTTTTGTATCACTTATTGTATCAATCAGGTTATATTACCACTTATTGTATCAATCAGGTTATATACCACTTTGTATCAGTCGGGTTATATACCACTTATTGTATCAATTGTCAGGTTATATACCACTTATTGTATCAATTCAGGTTATATACCTTTTATTCATCAATCAGGTTATATACCACTTATTGTATCAATCGAGGTTATATACCACTTATTGTATCAATCAGGTTATATACCACTTATTGTATCAATCAGGTTATATACCACTTATTATATCAATCAGATTATGTACCACGTTTTGTATCAATCAGGTTATATACCACTTATTCTATCAATCAGATTATATACCACTTATTGTATCAGTCAGGTTATATACCACTTATTGTATCAATCAGGTTATATACCACTTATTGTATCAATCAGATTATATACCACTTATTGTATCAATTTGGTTATGTATAACTTATTGTATCAATCAGGTGATATTACACTTATTGTATCAGTCAGGTTATGTACCACTCATTGTATCAGTCGGGTTACGTACCACTTTTTGTATCAATCGGATTATGTACTTTTCATTTTATTAGTCAGATTATGTACCACTTATTGCATTAATCAGGTTAAGTAACACTTATTGTATCAATCAGTCTTTGTTACACTTATTAAATCAATCAGGTTATGTTCCACTCATTCTATCAATCAGGTTATATACCACTTATTGTATCAATCAGGTTATATACCACTTATTGTATCAGTCAGGTTATATACCACTTATTGTATCAATCAGGTTATATACCACTTATTGTATCAATCAGATTATATAGCACTTATTGTATCAGCACTCATTGTATCAGTCAGGTTATGTACCACTCATTGTGTTAATCGGGTAATATTCCACTAATTGTTTCAATCATGTTATATACCACGTTTTGTATCAATTAGGTTATATACCACTTATTTATCAGTCAGGATATATACCACTGATTGAATCAGTCGGATGACGTACCACTCGTTATATCAATTGGACATTATACCTCTTATAGTATCAATTGGGTAATATACCACTTATTGCATCAAGCAGGCTATGTACCCGTTATTGTATCAGTCAGGTTACGCACCACTAATTGTTTTAATCAGGATTCGTATACATAGGTGGCATAACTATGTCAATCAGATCAAGAACAACCGATACTCTAACCAATACTTTGGTGCCTTTGTATCTAAATATTAGCCAAGAAATCATAAGCTTTACTTTTTACTGTTATTTCACGATGATTATGCAAAGTACATATACATTAACAAAAGAAAACAATATAGAAAGTGAAATATTAAAATCATACTGTCTTTACATGCGATAACGTAGCATTGATATAGTACCACGTAATGTCAACTGAGGCAGATGTTCAAATGTCTTACAAAATCTATAGTAGAAAATATTTGTTCACATGTGCAGCTTATGTGTGTGCTTGGCAGATTGGCTATAGAATGTGAATAATATTTACTGAATTGTGTAACATAAGTCTACCGATAAACATCAGATATAAAATGACAACATATTGAATAAAATTGCCACCGCTATCCCTTACAAATTATAGATCTTTATAAAAAAATTATTTCCATAAAGAAGACATTTAAGAATAAAATAAGGTTTGATACAGAAACATGAACATATACAAAGAAAGGAGTGAAATTAGAAAACTATTGGTCAAGTTACTGTAACTAGATAACTTATATATACTAAAATGTCTGATTTAGTATGAAACATTTTACACATAATTATCAAAACGAGTATGTTTACCCAATTAAAAAATCATATGCATTTTATCAGTACTGTAATTCATTTCATTCAATATAAAAAAATAAAGTCGTAAATTGATATACTTTT